CGTGGGTGCCGGTGCGCCGGTGTATCTGGCGGCGGTGCTAGAGTACCTGACGGCCGAGATCCTTGAGCTGGCCGGCAACGCTGCTCGCGACAACAAGAAGACCAGAATCATCCCCCGTCACCTTCAGCTGGCCGTCCGTAACGACGAGGAGTTGAACAAGCTGCTGTCCGGCGTCACCATTGCTCAGGGCGGCGTTCTCCCCAACATTCACGCCGTACTTCTCCCCAAGAAGACCAGCAAGGCTCAGTAATTTCCAGACGGAGGCCCACATCCCCAAACCCCGGCCCTTTTCAGGGCCACCCACATCCTCTCGAAAGAACTGTATCATCATGCCTACCCTCTACGATTGTTGTACAATAAAGTAATAAAAAATACAGGTCATGAAAAATACAAGTAATAAAACTGCAAATATAGCGCACATGACACTTGTCTACACTTAGTCGCATCCTTGCACGTCCCACTCCTTTCTAAACAAAATACATGATCACACTGCTATATCATGACAGTCCTATTGCTCGCTGACATATCTGTAGATTATACTTTTATTGCACAACATTGCTACACGGTACCAAGTATGTCATCTACTAGTATATATCTTTTTATAGAAGAGAATGAACACGTGTAGTCTAGTGTGTTGTGTTGTTGGGGGGGGGGTCGTTTGTCTGCCTTAGTAGTTCCTAGGTTTGTTGTTTTGGTTTACATGTAAAGCATGAGATGGTGTTTCTATCTGGTGTTGTCTGTTGTTTGAAGAATCGTGAACGATATAGATCTTTTGGGGATAGGTGAGTGGCCCTGAAAAGGGCCGGGGTTGTCGATCTTGTTCGGATCCTCCTTACGCACGCTCGCCACGGATGCGACGTGCGAGCTGAATGTCCTTGGGCATGATGGTCACACGCTTGGCGTGGATGGCGCACAGGTTGGTGTCCTCGAAGAGACCCACCAGGTAGGCCTCGCTGGCTTCCTGCAGGGCCATGACCGCCGAGCTCTGGAAGCGCAGGTCGGTCTTGAAGTCTTGGGCGATCTCTCGCACCAGGCGCTGGAAGGGCAACTTGCGAATGAGCAGCTCCGTCGACTTCTGGTAGCGACGAATCTCTCTCAGGGCCACGGTGCCGGGCCTGTAGCGGTGAGGCTTCTTCACCCCTCCGGTAGCCGGGGCGCTCTTGCGGGCAGCCTTGGTTGCCAGCTGCTTCCTCGGGGCCTTGCCTCCGGTGGATTTACGGGCGGTCTGCTTGGTACGTGCCATGTCGGATGAACTTCGTCTGCGCTCAAGTGCAAGACAATGAAAGTAGTCGACCGACGGTGGAGAGTGAATTTATAACGCCCGCTAATTAGATGCCGGTAGACTTCAATTGGCCGACACCCTGTTGCCTGATTGGTTCTCTGGTCCAAACCAGACCTTGCAATTGGTCAGTTTTCGCGACTCCAGGATCCGATATTTGCAGCAAGCTCGGCACTTTTGGAAGGGCGCACAGGAAAGTGTGAAATTCGGCGCTATAGAACGGTTATACTGGCTTGACAAGTGTACACGCGTGCCTATAGATGGACCGAGGCGACAAGACTATCGTTTCTCAATTGTGAAGTTGAAGACATTAATATACAATACTGCCAACAACTGAATAGCCTGCGTCAGCGAAATCAGACTTGTCGGTTAGCATTTAGGCTGTATGTTTCTTCGTTAACACTATCAACATGCGATTGCGACTGTATATGTGTGTGTGTGTGTGTGTGTGATTGGGGGGGGGGCGTTTGACTTCCATTCTTTAACTTTTGCCTTCTTTAATTAATAGCTTTGTATCATTTCTTTCTTCTTTTTTTTTGCGGGGGGGGGGGGGGTATCGTGTGTATTTGTGTGGAAAATTGGTAACTTGGAGGTGTCAGACATAGTTCTTTCGTAAGGATGTGTGTGGCCCTGAAAAGGGCCGGGGTTTGAAGGAAATTAGACGGCCCGGTCTTTACTTCTTCTTGGGCTTGGACGCCTTCTTGGCGGGCGCCGCCTTCTTGACGGTCTTCTTTGCCGGAGTCTTCTTGGTCGGTTTCTTGGCAGCAGGTTTCTTGGCCGGAG